TGTTGACGTCTAAAGCGTGAATTTCACTCACACGAGCCGCCGTTGCAAGGGCCAGAAGGAAAACTGTCTTCAAAGAAATGTGTTCGAAATCTTTCTCGGCGAGAGGTTCGTACTCGGGCGAATTTAGATGGCGAAGTATATTGTTTAGATCCCAAGTTGGTGGTCGAAAATGTTTGGTCCGCAAACTTGTACGATCTGATCAATGATTGTAATTCGGCGATTGTAGAAATCTTAGTGCCCGTTGTAGTTGCGATGACAGAATTGATCGCAGCTAAGTAGGTAGCTAGAGTCGAACGTTTTAGTTTACGAGATGATCGAAGATAAGGAAGGTATTCAGCCATTTGTTGTGTGGAAATGTCTTGTGAATGACAATACGATTCAAATGCCCTCCATTTATGGTCATATAGTGCTTTAGTAGATGACCTGTGCGCCCCCGCAATGGTCTTGGCCACTCGTTCAGAATAACCCTTAGCTATCAATGGTTTCTGTAAATGTGCCAAACGCATAGATTGAGAGTTGTTGGCGACGGATGACGGAGCTGAGAGTGTGGTTGATGCAGAAGATCGACCCTTAGAGGTAGATGGTAAAATTTTCTGTCTGCGAGACGAGTGAGCGTTATGAACGCATCCCCATCCCACGGTTGAGGCGTCGACGAACAGGTGGAGGGTCGGGGTGAATGGTTGCAAGGAGACTCCTCCGCATACATTTGATGGAGTTAACCACCATTTGAGGTGTGGGTGTAGATGGTTTGGAAGAGATATTAGGACCTGACAATCGTCGTCCTGAAGAGGGTCGAAGAGGGCTCTGATGAATTGGAGACGTTGTGTTGGAATAGACTGGGTTGATGATCCAACCTAGCTGATGAAGTAGGCGTTGAGAAAAATCGAGGTGATGAAGTAGAGTGTTCGAATCCTTGTTGGCTTGAATGAAGTTGTCGATGTACGTTTCGAAGACGATGCCTCGAGTGTGTAGGAACTTGACGATAGGTTTTGTGAGGCGTAAATAGCCACGGGGCCGAAGAAATTCCAAATGGGAGCACACACCATTGGTAGTGTTGGCCTAGGAACACAAACCGAAGAAAATGGCGGTGCTCTGGCAGGATAGGGACGTGTAAGTATGCGTCTTGTATATCTAGGCTGATCATGAAGTCGCCGGGATGAATAATCGTTCGTAGTAGAGCGATTGATGTCATGCAAAAGTGTGGAGGAGTCTCTAGGTATAGTTTGTTGAAGGTTTTCATGTTAAAGATGAGACGTAGTTGAGGACTGTTTTTCTTGAGAACCAGAAAAATTGGGGGAATAGAACCCTGGTGTCATTGGCCCAGACACTCTATTGCGTTCTTTACAAGTAACGTGTTTATTGGGGAAGACATGCTGCTGTTACAGCCTGTAACAGAGAACGAATCTGTTCTGCTGGAATAGCAGAAAGTTCGCTAGGGATCCATGATGTAGGGATAGCTTGAGATGGAGCTTGTGATGTTGCAGGAGTCTGTGATTCAGAGGAAACAGGAGGGCGTCGAACCGGAGGTGGCGATGGGGAGCTGGTACGACGAGTAGGTGAAGTAGAACTCTGCCTATCTTTAGGTGAAGGACATCTACTAACGGTAGCTGATCTGAGTGGTCTATCTCTATGTCGCCGAAGAGAATCCTCATGACGAGAAGAGAGAAATGTGGCTTGACCGATAAGGTCTGTAATCTGGATCATGAGGATACCCATGCCATAGAGGGTGGGGATCCCTGTAGTGTGGGTATCGTTCCAACTCACGTGCGTAGGCACTATATGAAGTAGTGTTCCAAGGGTAATCACCACGCTGATGAAAATCAAAAGTGTGAGGGTAATCTCTTGGTCGAAACTCTGGATGGATGAGTGAAGGAGAAGATCGAGACATGTAGGATGAATGGCTAATAGACTCGTTGTAGCGTTCATCCTCCGAGACTAGACGTGATGGGTCTGAATAGTCTCTGCGTGAGACATGATAAGGGGATGAGCGATAGTCAGCTCGCCTGTCATAAGACGAGTAACGATCTGTAGGTAAACGTCGCATATTAGGGGAGTCTCTCGAATGTCTCCGTTCCTTGTAGGTTTTATGAACTCTCGTGTCCCGTTGAAACTTCTTTTAAGTGTGTCGATACTTAGGAGTCCGTATGTCCTTCGAAGTTCGGTTCGATGATGTTCGTTGAACCTCAGTGGTTCGACGAGGCTCGAATCTCTTTTGTTTGTCCGAAGATGTACGATTCGAACGTGACTGTCGCACCTCGGGAGTACAGCGATGTTCGGAGGTGCGATGAGGTTCGGAGGTTCGAGTTTCGGAGGTTGGAGGTTTGGAGGTTCGAAGTTCGGAGGATCGAGGTTCGGGGTTCAAGGTTCGAGGTTCGAGGTTCGGAGGCCCGATGTTCGTAGGTTCGAGGTTCGGTGTCGAGAATGAGAAGTCCGTTGGTCCCAGTCTGGGTGCCGATCCCCAGATGATTGCACTGAATAAAGTGCACTGACTGTCGATGCTAGTTGATCCCGGGACGAATGTCTATCGTCTTGTGAATCCCCTCGGGAGGGGGAGGTTCGTGAGCCTTGATCCTATGAGTCGTCATACGACTCCTGGTCTTGAGAGGATCGATCCTGCGAAGATCGTCGTATGGGAGATTTCGAACGACGGACCGAACTTATAGGGTTGACCGAGGTACAAGTACCATGTGTACCCTCCGAAGGTAAAACAGGAGTGAGGTCCATGTTAGTCGTAGAACACGACGAGTCGAAAGTACGAACCTCGGTCGGGTTCGATACGAGTGTAGATGACGTAAGCCCGTCATCCACACTCGTGTCTAACGAGAGGACTCGTCGAATGTCCGAGTCTCGGGATGTGGACGGTAGGTTCGGCTTTGAAGGTGGATTCGTGGAGACCTTAGACATGTCGTCTGTGAGAAAAGAGTCAGAGACTCCCTCATCGTCTAACGAGATCAGGGGACCAGTTTGATCCCTAGTATCCTGGCCCGCCGATGAGGGTGATCGGGCCGATCTCGCTTTCTTGACCGGTGTTTTCTTGGCTTTCGTGGATTTTTCTGCAGTCTCAGAGAGACGATCTGACACCCGACGCCGACATTTATGCAGGTACAGTTTGAAGGATTCATCTGGTAGATCGGAGCAGAGCTCGCAACGCTCTAAAACCTGCATAATCCACGACAATCCGAACATTGGGCATGAGGGTCAGACGGAGAGAAAACACGTTGGCACAAAGTGCAGACAGGTCTCCATGTGGACTGCTCGTCCATTATGAAGAATAACTATCCCAAACAGGGATATAAGTAAATTTGCAGGCAATAAGACGACAATAATATGAAGATCGCTTGCAAGCGAAAAAGAAAAACCCAAAATGGATTCCTGTAATAACAACACGTCACCACTGCGTGGCGATTTGAAAGAGAATGAGTTGACTGGGATAGACACGTGATCAGAAGGTCAACCAGCATGCATAGCGCGCATGACCCAGATCTGGGAGGTGACCGTGGCGATGTGAGGTATGACGGGGTTAATTAACTTTAGAAGCTGGAAACTTTTATTTCAGATACGTTTCCACTCAGAATCGAAAGAAGAAAGAGAAATGCAAAGTGTGAGATAGGATAAGTATATAAATTTATTATAAATTGTATATTTATATACTTATCCTATCTCACACGTTATATATGCCCACCCGTCCATCCCCACATCGCAATTCCTTAGTCTATATGCTCTTGAATGAGAATGAGTAGATTGGGATAGACACGTAATCAGTGCAAGGAAGTCAACCAGCATGCATAGCGCATATTATGAACCAGTATTCTGAATTAGGAGATACACATTCTGTGTTTTCAATGCTAAATTACCTGTAGATTTACACCCTGTGAAATAACCCATCACATTGTTCATAGAGACCTTTCCAAGAAGAAAAATAAATTTTGAACCTCGAAGGTACACCTATTCATTTTGGACAAACCCTCCTCCTGGACGATTGCGTCTGTGTACATACCAAATACATCCTCAGTACTGATGAATGTCTTTTCTGTCTGGACACTTCTGTCTGTGATACACTTCTGTTGAAGCGCTACGTTTTACTATTCGTACGTTTGGTTAATGAGTTTTTTCCTTTGTTTGTGTTTTGATGTTTCCAACAATGACAATTAATGAGTATTAATTTACATGACATAAAAATGATTCTTCATACATCGTCTGTGCCAATATCTGCCCTATATGTAAATCAACAGCACAGTGTGTTTCTTTTGTTTGATCATATTATATTATTCTACTCTGATATCTCTCACATGGAGTATTTGATACTTAGAATGTGTTCTTAACTCTTGATAGAAGCGTACCCAAATATTCCTGACTGAGAACAATAGCTTTCAAAGTTCAAAGTTCATGAACTTCAAAGTTCAAGAATATTTCAAGCTTTCACGCAATTAAGATGCATGCTGTACCAAATATGTACAACACATACATTCCCTGAGAAAGTTTGGAAAAAGGATTTCCCCATGCAGAACTATAACAAATCATAAAGCTGTTTCACTATCCTCTTTTAAAACCTCTAAAACTGACTACTACCTTGAATCATAGTTATATATATTTGTTGTCTGCATGCAGATATAATATAACTAGAATGAATAGAAGCATGTTTTAAAGAGAGAAAAGTTTCTTAAGTTTCCAAATTTTATAAAATGTCTATTTAACCACAAAGAGCCTTTTTGATTCCTCGTCAGTCATGAATTAAATCATACTTACTTGGACAGATTTATTTAATAACTATCAAGGTTCTGTAGATTCTAATTATAAACAATAGGGAAGCCACAACAACGATGTCGTAGCCTTGCGCTATTGAAAAATGTGTATTAGGCAGGGTTTTAGTCACAGGTTATTATAATTATCTTTTTGTTTACAAACCATAAACATACGTACGTCGTTGTCGTCGTTTCTAAACATATCATTTGCATCTTATATACAAACAGAGAGAAATCAGCAAAATCGCATTATCTCACCTTGCATATGTCTTCGACTTTGTTGTAAGGGTACCAATACAAGCAACAGCCCAAACTCTTAAACGGGGAATTCACTGTTCATTGACATTACCAGCGCCTCTCTCTGAGGGATATGTAAGACGGCAACTGAAGTCCACCCCACAATAAAACTGTGCATTTGGCTCTCTGAATGACACGTTTTATTTATGATGTATTGTGTAATAAAATTCTTGAGAACGTAGCTACGTGCAGGTTGAGTGTGAATTTCAGCTATTTTAAAACATATTCCGATACATCATGCACGACTCTTTCGACTTTTATCAAAATGTACATTGTACTGATACATTTAATATTAAAAGACAATTTTCAGGGAGACCTTATATGTCGCAAACATGTGTCCAGAACTCCGTTACAAAAATACAAAGTTTAACAGAGTAGTTTATGGTGTTTAAGGGTTGTATTATGTGAATATATTGATATTAGCAAACATGTTGTATCCCAATATAACGCTCTGTTATGTCTGCAGCTTGTAACGCAGCTTGTGCTCAAATACGGCATGCACATTTCAATTTTTTGTAATCACAATATTCAAGTGAATGCAATTTTTTTATGTTCTCAGTTGCCAACTTGATGACTCGGTGGAGATAATGTACCAGCGATGAGTAAGTGTGTGAGTAAAGATTCATTTTCACATCGGCTGTATTCAGCTTTATCGTGACTAAAACATGTTATACATTAATGGCACATAAATCAGACTATATAAAACCCGTCGACAAAAGATATATGTGTTGTCATGTTGTGGTAGTGTGTTACCATAGAAAGATGGTCTTTTTTCGCCATCAACAAAGTAGGGACCAAGGGGACGTACGGTACTTCTGCTACCTACATGGTACCCATAGCAGGATTGTATCAGCGATGATGACGCCGAAGATGTTTATGACTCATATGTTGTAAACCACAGTGGCGCTCCAGGTGTATTAGATGAATTAGGATGAGTTAGTTACATTTCTGTGAATTATGAATAAATAAAACTTAGATTCATTAGAGACTGATTCACCACAACTCGGTTCGCTGCGGCTCGATTCACTACAGTGACTCACAATTTGTTATCACGTAATTCATTAGGTTTCGAGTAGACTTCTTAAGGATGCTTTTCAGCAGAAATCGGTTCGTTAAGGTTTATTCCATTTCGGTTGATAATGGCTCCGTTTGGTACAACGCTGGTCATTGCGAATATTGAATTAGGTTCACTTGGGGTTCAGTTCAATAACTCTGAGGTAGAGCTGGACATGTTTTCCGTTTTCACGAACACCTCGTGTCATCACTTTTTTGCTTTTTTCGCCTCATGGAACCTGTTTCGACATATATTCGAGGCTGATTATTCTCTGACTTTTTGAACCATGACATAACATATTTGTCGACGTGTGATAGCTGAGAAGATTCGTTGACCTTTGTTTTTGTGACCTCTGCGAAATCAAAGAGGCACTTACATTTAACTACATGGGGTGGTAGAGTAGCCTGGTGGTTAAAGCGTTTGTTCGTCATTCAGAAGGTCAGGTTCAATTCCACACATCATTACAATGTATTAAACCTTATTGCTAGTCTCCTCAGCTGGAATATTGCCAAAACGGCGTGAACAACATCGAATCCGAACATATCATGTATTCGTGAATCACCGTCCAATAGTGATGATATCAGGTGTTCATGTCCCACCGGTGGTAACTATCACAAACACACGCAAGGGCATGTCAATTGGTCACCTGAAAGTAACAGCGACAAAATCTACATTCTACATTCATGAGAAATCTCTGTCGATCTTACGATATCATGAACAACATGTGTTTATGAATCACTGTCAACCTGGGACTATACCAGGTCCTGCCCTATCGATTGTCACAAACACATACAAAAGCAAGTCAATTGTTCATATGAAAAAGTACGAGATCATAGAGTACAAGTCAAAATAGGGAATTACATCGTACATAATAACAATAATCATATGACATACAGTTGTTGAAAAGCGCTAAACGTAACATAACAGATGCTCTTTTTGTCTTTGATAGAAGGGTTGCCTCAGTGTAATGTTATGGAATTGAAGGCTTGGGTTTTGGGGGTGTTCACAGTGTTGAAAAGGTACAATTCTTAAGAAAACTGTTGTATATGTCATTTAAAATAAAAATAAGCTATCATGGTGAATTGGGCCATGTCCTTCCCTAATGGTACCAGAAGCGTATCATGTAATGTTGTAGCATTTGGACTAAGCAGGTAGGCTAACCTGGGAAAATGTATGGAGAAATTGTTAAATTGTTTGGGATTTGGCTCGGTTTTGCCACAATAAGGCGTAGGGGGTGCCTCTCATTTCATGGAAGAAAGATTACAAGATTGCTGGAGACTGGTGAAGGACAAACTGTTATTAGATTAAAAAAATGCAGTATAATTAGATCCTTGTTAGTACCAGCAACATATTTATTCACCTTTGCAAGTAACGATTAAGAGTTGCTCTGTGTAGATCCAGATGCGGAAATCATAAGCTTGCAATTGAAACAGGGAGTTGGAGTGAAATAGACCAACAAGACCGGATTCGTAAGTTTTGTCATGAAAATCTACATGTATCTGTTGTTGAGGATGAAGTGCATTTTATAACTGCATGTCGATTGTATAAACAATTAGACGATGCCATCTTTGTGAACAGTAAAGGGGAGATAATCTATTGAGGAAAGCGTGTCTCAGCCACGTTAACAGCCAAAGGGAGATAACGGACCTACTGTGTTGTGCTTTGAAGTGCTCTTGCAAAGATTGAAGTGGTCCCCCGATGCGCTGAAGATTGAAGGATCAAATCCTCTGTACGTTGGTGTACACTCCCATTTGAAGAAGCCCAGGTGTCATCTTGAAAACATTATGAAAATGGTGTGTGTGTGTTTTGGGGTATGGGGCGCATTGTGCAGATTAGTGAAATATGGAACTGCTTCGGGTATGGTGATATTTGAGACTCGCTTATTTTTCAATTATTACAATTCTTTGCGAACATAGAATGCGTTCATGTACATTTATTTACCTTGCTGCAATTCTTCCATGAACAGGAATGTATAGTCCATATTCATTGCGCCAGATCAGATATTATTCAAAATAGACTTCAAGCCAGTATACAAATAATCAGAAAGCCGAAATCGCACTCTACAGAAGCTGTTATTTTATGATACGTTTTGCTGGACATACTTGCTGACCATATGGGTAGAGTATCTTGTGGCAGAAAAGTGTAGTTGAGAAGCACACATGCGGCTTGATCATCGCTCAGAACTCCATTATACAATGTGAAATTGATATGTAAGACCCTATTACATCATAACTGACAGAAGGACATATCATATTTTATTGAAGATCAAGGTGGTAAGATACTAAATCCGTACGTCATACGTGTGTCGTACAAGGTTGACCTTGTTTTATTCGTTTTGATTGGATAACCGTGACCTCTGTCACACTGGGACTAGATCTACTTTTTTTCATTCATAATAAATCGCGAGACGTCATTCATTTTGCAACTTCAAGGCAAATTTGAAGCATTTTCATGAGAGCGAGAGATATTTACAAACAATTTATTAAACCAAACAAGATTTAGATAGTAACACGCATCAAATCCGGTTTACACTCTATATAGGTTATGCATAGAGCTTCTACAGACATTATATAAATGAGCTATATCCATTTACAATGTACGACTACTGATCAATAGATCAACTCGTGAACTTTCTATGTTATCTGACCTCGCTTTCGCTCGGTCAGATACCATAGAAAGTCCACTCTTTTAGTAAAAATGGTATCTAACGAGAAAGAATGTAGTATTCTCTATATATCATAAACAAGTGATTTCATCAGGTGTATAAGTATTAAATATAAAAAACAGAGTCCAGATATTCGTGCTTGTCAAAACTTCTTTATCCACACAATTATTATTGGGCAAGTTCCACATCGAGGTGTGTTACGCTTTGTTAAACTGACGGTATTTGTATTTTGTGAGTATTTGGATGGACAAAGAACTTGTGTAAGATTTTTTGGCTGTCTTGTACTGCGTATACGCGTTAGTTTACACTTAGTTAAACATGTTTTCATAGTTTTACTTTGCTGTAAAATTGGAAGATTGGCTTTTAAAAGGGGCATAATTTTACAGTTTCTAGGATTGTATTGTTTTCCTTAATGTTTCTCGTGGAATTTTGATTGCTTTATTTACAGCGTCTTTAACAACTCCACATGGATATCCTTGTAGTTGGAGATGAAATCAGTTGTTTATATATATATCTGCAGAAAGCAGATATTCTACAATTCCAACTATATCATAAGCATGTACTTATGAATTCAGAAAGTGGAAAATGTAAGTAAATTATGTACTCTGATTTAAATCTTAAAGCATAATGTCTTTTAGACGTATTTAAAATATTTCCGGTATAAATACAATTATTTCACAGAGTGAAAAATATAAAATATCTTTTTTTTGTAATTTCAGATAAGTATAGTTTTTTATCAAGGAATAATTAAGTAAGCATTCTAATGGAATGTCTTTTCTTGTAATTTCAGATAAATATAGTATTTCATCACGGGATAATTTAGTATGCATTCTTATGGAATGTTTACAGTGTAAATGGCCGTTTTAAATTATTCTGTTCTGATTCGACAATACTTAATGAGACCATATATTCTTACTTCTATGCATACAGAATATGTTGTCCCGTGTTAAAATACATAACAATCAGATTTTCACAGCGAAACATCTATTCATGTAATTGTCTACTCCAAAACGTTTTCGGAAAATTATTCATTTTTTTCTTCAAAGCGATCACTTTTCGTCTACAATTGTCTTTACATCTAAACTGACGGCCAAAAGAAACGTTCCCAACATTAACTGATTTGCCACTTTGAAACAAAGATCCCAACCTGTTCAAAAACAGTAAAGAACACATCTCAGGAATACAGCCTTCATGTTCTCTGTCGTTCTTTGCATGTGCTTTGCGGATTTGGCGAGATATTGGTGTTTTTCAGCAATTTTTAAAAACATTTTTTCCCAAATTATCGTGCAATTTCAGGGTATAAAGTACGCACGGATCTGTTCCCTATCATTGGTTGCGATGATTAACACCAACGAACATGCCAATACTGACCGCTGTCCAGAGGGAGAGAGCCATAGGTATGCTGCAGATGGGAGCGACACAGAGAGCGGTTGCCATTAACATGAACTGCTCCACGATGACCATTACCAGACTGGTCGCACCTCTCCGACAGACTGGCAGAACCGCAGACAGACCACGGAGTGGTAGACCAAAGGTCACGACACCGCAGGATGACCGCTTTTTACGGGTACTTCATCTGAGGAACAGATTCCTTGTTGTGACGTCATCAGCTGCCAACAGCTTAGGACATCCGGTCAGCAGACAAACAGTGACCAGACGACTACGACATTATGGTCTCCGGGCTTATCGCCCTTTCAAGGGCATGACCTTGACCCGTCAACATCGACGTGCCAGATTGACGTGGTGCAGGCAATCTCAGCTATGGCAACAAAGGGAATGGCGGCGAGTGCTGTTAAGTGACGAGAGCAGGTTCCAACTCTTCAAACCTGATGGGCGGACGCGAGTTTATCGACGACGTGGTGAACGTACGGCTCCTTGTTGTGTCCAGGAGGTGGAACCTTACGGGGGCGGAAGTGTGATGGTCTGGGGCGGCATTTGCGGGGACGAGAAGACGGAACTTGTCATCATCGAAGGCAATCTGACAGCACAACGCTACATTGACAATATCTTACGGCAAGTGGTTCTTCCTTTCATCCAGCGTCAACAACGGACGGTGTTCCAACAAGATAACGCCACACCCCATAAAGCCCGTATCACTAGAGACTTCCTCAACGCCAACAACGTGACTGTCCTGCCGTGGCCAGCTCGATCACCAGATCTGTCACCCATAGAACATCTCTGGGACCAGCTGGGGCGTCGTCTTCGGAAACGTCAACATCATCCCTTCACAAGACAAGCGTTGATCGTTGCCCTCCGTGAGGAATGGAATCGGATACCTGCAGTCGATGTGAGGACGCTTGTCTACTCAGTTCGACGCTGCATTCGAAGATGCATTGCCGCTCATGGAGGTCATATCCCGTATTGAACGGTCTGGGCCGTCGTCACCTTAAAGTTGTAACCAATGTTGTTGATCGAATACTGGACGAATGGCCCCTTGTCAAGAAATGTCCCTGTTGGAGGTCAAGGACTTTGTTGTTGAATTAGTAAATTAGCATTTTACAGTTCTGAATGATGAATTTCTACAATACAATTGTTATTGCTGCTTCAAATTGTGTTGGTCATATTTTATCCTAGAAGTATCGTTGGTAACGTTTCTTTTGGCCGTCAGTTTATTTCCTTCCTACGCGTTGGGATTTCTGTTTCGGAAACAGAGGAATGAAAGCTTAGTATGTATGGTCTTATACAATATCTTCTCGCAAACCGCGCCTTTCAGCAGAACTGTCCCGGGTTTGTTCCCAGAACGACCTTGCAGTTTGGACACTTGTGAACGGCGTCTTGGGTAGACTCCATGCACAACGGAATGAAACAGCCGATAATACCTCTGAAATAATAATTTCGCTAGATAGATAGAATATTGATCTTTCTTTAGTTATATTTATTGAAAATTCGTTTCGAAAACAAAGAGACTTGATCTACGTCATAAATATATCTAAAGACTGGTACAAAGTGGTCTTCACTTAAAAATGTCCTCAAATAAGATAATTAGTAAAAAACAGTTTTGGAATTCGGAACAAAAATTAAACAGACAAATTCCTTTCGCCCAACCGCTCCCCTGCTGGTTGAGGTTGGAGATGAGAAGCACAAGATATGGACGGCATCTTAGGGACCACTTCATATATACAAAGGACCAAAGTGAATACTTGTTAATCCGGGCGATTTCATTGGGAAAGGTATTTATAAATAAAACATCTTACAAAAATGAACAGGATAAAGGACTCACAGAAAGAAGCAAAAAATGCATGCTGCTCGCCAGGTTGCGTCGCCGTAGACCATTTCCACCGACGTCACGATCGATGCTTGACAAAACTGGCAAGTGAGGCTTATTGGTACCCTTGGAAACATGACAAGGGCTCCGTGAAGACCCATGTTGACTGTGGTAACGTTCAGCTGCTGCTGTTGCTGCTGCTGGGGCATTAGTTGTGGAACCGTTCCTTTTATGATAACGTTTATATATATATATTGATACATGTGCATGCAGAAAAACTGCACAACATTGTGCAATGCAATGTCAGCGTAATACAATGCCTGTACCGCCAGCATTTGTTAATGGTTTGGCTAACCTGATAAATCATTGTTTTACTTTAGTTTTGCCAGGGTCACTGACTATTTACAGTTAGGGAATGAGAACATGATGCAGGTGTTTTCATGATAAGTATTTTGTCCACACAGAAAAGTGACATCAAACCCATAATCAGCCTGGCAAAAAAAAATCAGACGAGGAAGGGTAACTCTTCCTCTAAAAAATCCGGACATACTTGTCATTGATAGAACTAATATTTACCGGGCTTACTTATCTCCCCGAATGATAAATCCATCACACCTTATGTTAAAAGACCCTCAAAATATTAATTATTTGTTCGCGCCCTTATTAGAGGTGGTGTATTTCTAATCTGACACCCTCCACAAAAGGATATAAACCCGGGTCGTTCAATTTTCACAATGCCTGGCTTGTCTAACCATGCACGGGTGGTTTCTCCGTGAGTCAGTCCCACCCGAGTAGTCACACACCTGTATAATTTGTTTGGGAGCGATTATCAATGGGAATAGGGGTGTTTAGGTTGGGACAAGTTAAGATAGTGCTACAATATAGAGATTAATAACGGATAATGTTTGTTTTTTTCAATTAAGAAATGTAAGTGGACTAAGATAGTTTGACAATATAGAGATTAATATCAGATAATAGATTGAAACATTTAGTAATGGGATCAGATTAATTACATTAGTTTTCAATAAGAACTGTAAGTGAATTAAGTAACTAAATGCGTTGAGGCTTATAGTTGGAGTACGGGTGAACATAGCTAAGATTTGGAATGGAGTGTTGCAAGTTTTGCAAGTGGGGCACTTGTTTTAAACATATGGGACGTTATTACAGTTCCTAAAACACCAATTTCTGCCTAACAACCATGTCTCTTCAGTCCTCCAATACGATGATAAGTTATGGCACATGCTCTAGCACAGTTCTCTATCCTCCCTAACCTTCATGGTGGTAGATGTGTGTATCATGCAGGCTACAAGTATTCTGTGCACAGAGAGAAGAACGGCCGTGTGTACCGGAGATGTACAGACAGGGGACACTGAGATCACGCCAGTACCCTGCATCTATCCGCAACTAGCTGCCCTCACGAAAGATCAAGCCAGTGAAAAACTTCTGCGAAACGCCCCCCACTTTGATGCAGTGAGGACATCAGACAAGAGCCTGGTCACCTATACAACAGTATTCCAACTTATAAACGAAAAAGCCGACACAAACTTCAACGTGGGACCCGACATTAACTTGCATGCTTGTGGTGATGAGTCCTGCCTAATATTTGTTGATAACCTTTTAACTAACGTGCTAAGACAGATAAAAGAATTGATGAAATAAGATATAAATGTATTTTGTTTTATTTTTGTGCACTCCTGTTAACAGTAAAATAGGTTAATCAGCATGCCTGCTTTGTCTTACCTACCGGGTCCGTAGTGTGGTGAAGGAGAAGGGAGGTTGTCAGCCATGCAGCTGCCTTTAGATTGAGGGTGCTGTATACCTACCAGTCCCGTAGTTGGGTGGCGGGCGAGGGAGGTTGTCAGCCATGCTGCCTTTAGATTGAGGGTGCTGTATACCTACCAGGTCCGTAGTGTGGTGGAGGAGAAGGGAGGTTGTCAGCCATGCTGCCTTTAGATTGAGGGTGCTGTATACCTACCAGGTCCGTAGTGTGGTGGAGGAGAAGGGAGGTTGTCAGCCATGCTGCCTTTAGATTCAGAGTGCTGTAGACCTACCAGGTCCGTAGTGTGGTGGAAGAGAAGGGAGGTTGTAAGCCATGCTGCCTTTAGATTCAGAGTGCTGTAGACCTACAAGGTCCGTAGTGTGGTGGAGGAGAAGGGAGGTTGTCAGCCATGCTGCCTTTAGATTCAGAGTGCTGTAGACCTACAAGGTCCGTAGTGTGGTGGAGGAAAAGGAAGGTTGTAAGCCTTGCTGCCTTTAGACTGAGGGTGCTGTATTCCTAACAGGCCCGTAGTTGGGTGGCGGGCGAGGGAGATTGTCACAGCCTTTCTGCCATTAGACTGCTGGTGCTGTATACCTACCAGGTTCGCAGTATGGTGGTGGAGGAGGGGGGTTGTCAGCCATGCTGCCTTTAGGAGGTGGAGTTGCTGTAGACATCGTAGATCACTGAACGCTGGGACTCCTTTTAAAAAGGATGTACAAGAGATAACATTTTTTCAGCAATATTTCTGTAACATGAAAAACTCATGGATGACTTGAAGGAAGTGATATGAATCGACAGAGAGAATAGTTTAGCAATGCACAACTAAAACATAAGCCAAACCGCACTTTTGTCCCAGTGTCCTTAGTCGAGGTAGCTCGATGAGCAGAATTGCGTCCATTTAGACGTCATGAGCAGTTGGTCACAGATTCTAACACCTGATTCTAACTGATTATGACCCTTGGTTTGCCAACGCCACATACAACGTCACATCACTCACACTCATTGCGTCAATATTTCCTTCCAACTTTCACCATTAAATCTAAGCTCCTTTAGAATTGTGTCTATCTGGATGAGGCGAGATAAAAAAAAATATACATCACTCACTCACCGAACAGGTGACGTTTTGAGAATTATAACCCTTCAAACAAATAGTTGCAGGAAAGCTGTCTCTGGTCCTACATGTTCGGAGTCATTGCCACTGGTAAATCATCTTTTTTTCTAAATCGGCATAATAGCTTAGCTGTCGCGTAGTTACGACCTAGCTGTCGCCTTATTACAACTCAGCTGTCACGTAAAAAGGTAGCTACGGCGTAATTAAGACTCGGCTCTCCCGTAATCACGACTGCCTACTACGTTATTACAACTTAACTATAAAGTAATTACAAGTAAACTACTGCGTAATAACGAGTTAACTATCATAGTTTGCCATACTGCTTCTTCAGGATTACGAATTGCACTCCAAAGAATATCCGAAGGAATAGTCACAATGCGTGGTGCAGTGTTGGAAGGTGAGACATGAAATATAAAATCTATGCTGAGCAAAGAGGTGAGAGTATCTTCATGCCTGGGCGGTGTAGCTTATGAGGTTTATAACTTACGACTAATAATTGCATATTTATATCAAACTGTATGATTATTGGCATGACCGTTAGTTACGTATAGCTTTTCCAAATGGGTTCTTATCACATACGGACCATTCCAAATAACGGTATGGCGTTGTCCCCTTGGTTCATGGCTAACAATGAACGGTGTGGACACCTACCGCCTTTCGCCAGTTGAGAAATGTCCAAGGACCCAGGGCTGTATTGTAATATTTTGGGAATGAGACTAACATAGTAAACAATGTGAAAATGAACAACTATGTACACAAGAAGGAACAGGAATCAATACAACACATTTAAGTATTCGTAATGGTGTCCTCCACGTGTCTACCATAACATTTTGCAAGCTACACTAAGGACTTGTACCCGGTAACGCCGATCAAACAACTTTTTTTTATGAAATCTTCGAAGAAAGTGCATGGTCGATTGTATTTCAATAGTTGTGAAATGTAGACACCAAAAGCAGGAGCTGCTGGAATACTGCACAGATCTCAATTCGAAACAGTACATCCAGACGTTCATACGCCTGACAATTACTGCAATTAATGTGACGTAGACGTTACATCACAATGGTACCCAATACCAGTGAGTTGAAATGGGTTAAATGTCGCATTCACGATTATTGCATATATTCAGCGTGTGACGTATTAGCAAAAGTGTGAGCTACTCTCAGAGAGGCACACAACAATATTTTTTTAATTTGACGTTTACACGATATACGTCTTTTCCCTTGGACGAGAGGTCGGTCACATGACCGCGAAATTGACGTTCATAAGTGTATGAACGACACAATTTGATGGTCATACGTTTTTCACAAGACCGTATTCTTGAAATGACGTAAACACTGACGGACAACTTCCACATTCCTAGTGAAAACCCTGGGATTTCCCTAGCGAAAACATACATAAGCGTTCTTTCTGGTCATTTAGGCGGCATGGTATCTCAGTGAGCTAGCACTATAAATCGGCATCAGTCCGGTCTAGTACACGCACGCACGCACACACACCACACACACACACCCGGGGAGCGGAAGGTCCGGGGTTCAATCCCCGGCCGCGTCATACCAAAAGACGTTAAAAGATGGTACTTGTTGTTACCCTGTCTGGCGCTCGGCATTAAGGGGCTAAAACAAGGACTGGTCGGCTCGGAGTCAGTATACTGTGTCTGAGTGGGGTATTTATGTTAAACTGGGGCATGGTATCTCAGTGAGCTAGCACTATAAATCGACATCAGTCCGGACTAGTACAAGCAGCCACACAAACACACACACGTACATGCACGTCGCTATATAATTGCCATAATCTTGGACGCGACGTTAAACCCCATTTCACCTCACCTTCAATCTTGGTCTCAGCGTTTCAGTAACTATACATTGAGAAACGCCAGAGAGCTTGACTGCATGATTTTCACGAATTTCCTCGCTACGGCCCATCCTAATGACCAAACGAAGAAACGTACAATGTCATCCAAACTATCGTTGTATCGACTCGATCCGTGTCTAGGCTGACAGTGACCGTCTCTAGCAATCTATGAATTTATCTCAGTGTCTTTAATCACCTTTCAATGATCGGCCAGTTGATCAATGATGACCAACCCATGTAACTGCCACAGGTTCATTAACAACTTCGGAAATCTCTTGCGTCACGTTTATCGTGTCGGCCATTTTGACGTGTTGTACTTGATGTAATGGATAACGACGCGCTGTCATTGTGACTGACTTACTGGGGTAGTTCTTTACATACCTTTCTCATCTAATGGTGATATTATTCGAACATGTGTTGCGCAAGATGTTTCTGAAGAGCAAATTGTGCATGCATACGCTCATGTCACCTCTCTTTTTGAGGAACTATTTTGTTCCGCGATATAGCTGGTTGTTATATGGCTGTCAGTGTAAGCATGAAGTCATACGTACTAAATAAAATTGTGTTTGGATCTTGGTCTACATCCTTTGAGGTAGGAAACTGTGATAACAAATTATAAAAATTGCCTTTCGCAAGCTCCGAAGTTCATACAGTTTGGCCCTCACTCTATGAAGGTTCATACTCGGAGGAATTCACACAAAGTGAAGGTCAATTCTGAATTGTTAAAGGATATTGGGTGACACTTGTAACTTGAAACGGATGTATTCATGGGTAAGGGAATAATTAAATAAATAAATAAAATTAATACAACACGTAATCTGTTTTGACTTTTTCCCATTTTCCAACTCCGTATCCAACTTAAACACAAACAGGACTGACGGGCGTGAGAGGAAGTAATTGGTCGTCACTGAGCCACAATGAATGTGTATTGTAACAGAAGTGTGCGTGTGTGCGTGTGTGCGTGCGTGCGTGCGTGTGTGCGTGCGTGTGTGTGTGTGTGTGTGTGTGTGTGTGTGTGTGTGTGTGTGTGTGTGTGTGTTTGCTTGTGTGTGAGACACCGTGTGTGTGTGAGAGAGAGAGAGGGACACCGTGTGTGTGTGTGAAAGCGAGACACCGCGTGTGTGTGTAAGAGAGAGACACCGTTTGTGTGCGTGTGCGCGTGCGTGCGTGCGTGTGTGTGCTTGAACTTGTACTAATGACTGTTATATAGTACTAGCGAATGCCACAGCTTAACACAAATGCCCGGAAACGATACACCGACTCCGTGCAAACCAGTCCTTGTTTTAGCGCCTTAATGCCGAGAGCCAGACAGGAGAACGTATTTTGCTACGACGCTGCTGGGGATCGAACCCCAGCTTCCGCTCTCCGGGCAGACCACGGAGGAGGTCGTAGACAATGAAGAATTCAAGTATCAGCACGACACAGAAGACTTCAACAGTTTTGTTTTAGGATAATATATGGCCCTATATTTAACTAGATAGACGTGTAATTTGTTAAAGCTGCAGGTTTATACTTAGAGTATTTGTACAGCGATAACATTGTTACCTCTACCAGGAAGTATTGATATGCACACAAGAATGCTTAAATGACTCACACTCAAACAAATATAACCTAGTTTAGATTGTTAGTTACATGGAGACGCCTTGTAAATAATGGGAATAGGTAGATATACTGCATATCAAACAGGGTTCAGATGACTAGATTACTCTATAAGCAAACATACAGTCCCCTGCAGACTAACAACTGTCGCAATAAATACTTTTAAATTTATGTGTGAAGAATCTCACATTTGCCTGTAAACACGTTTATATTACTTTTCTCGGGGATGAATTACAAACACACCTGCAATAAACATTGCACATTTATAAAACTAAAAAGTTTGATCATGAAGACTTGATAGTTGTTTACACGTGTCGACTTTCTGTATGTTTTTGCTACCTAACGCTTAGTCCGGTCCTTGTTGACGTACACGTAAGAATTGTACCTATCCCATCGATGACAAAATAAACGTGCACTGAAGTACTACCGGGGCATCTAAATCAGGGTATTGATATATGCACTGAATATACAGCCAGTAATACGGTACCCCTGCCTTCAACATGACACAATGTTGCAGCCTAATCTGCTGTCTGTATTACCAATACCGGCTTCTATAAGCCTCAGTACGTGGTTCACTGACCTTGCCCTATGTCATGTAATACATTGGTGTCCCCCGTCGTGATATTGCTGGAATATTGCTAAAGGCGGCGTAAAACCTCATTCACTCACTCACGTAATCTATCAACCTACAAAATCTGATCGACATGTCATAACGCCGACCCAGATCATTGACAGGAGCGGACGGATTGCACGGCTAATCCTGGCGTCCGTTACGGCCGTCAGCAACGACTACCTCGACGATGAAGAATTCCAGTCCGACTTCCTGTAAGTGTATAAGTGACAGAAACATATTTAACCAGGTAATAATAAACCTGGCTGCTGTAATCTTAAACGTCATCTCTTCTTTTCTCTTCCGTGGTCCCTGAGCTACCAACCAAGAACGTCATATGGTGGAGAACCCATGCTTTTGAATAGTATCAAGTACCATCTTTTAGGTTCTTTCTGCAGGTGCGTCCAGGGCCCAGTTCCACAAAGCGATCGTAGCTCTAAGACAATTGTAACCCCCATACTTTAATATAGACTTAGGACTTTAATAGGTGAGGTGACATTGGGTTTAACGTCGCGTCCAAGATCATTGCACTTATATAGCGACGTGCATGCACGTGTGTGTGTTTGTGTGGCTGCTTGTACTAGTCCGAACAGGTGCCGTTTTATAGTGCTAGCCCACTGAGATACCATGCCGCAGTTTAACATGAATACCCCACTCAGACACAGTATACTGACTCCGAGCCGACCAGTCCTTGTTTTAGCCCCTTAATGCCGAGCGCCAGACAGGGTAACAACAAGTACCATCTTTTAACTTCTTTTGGTATGATGCGGCCGGGGATCGAACCCGGACCTTCCGCTCCCCGGGGGGACGCTCTACCACTAGACCACGGAGGCGGTTAGGACTTTAATACTACTACTACTACTACTACTAATAATAATAATAATAAAATAAAAAGTCCATTTATACTGCGCCAGATTCCATTCACCAAGTTAATGCACATGACGCTTCATAGTTTTAGCAAATAATGTTGACTGAGTTGATTGTGTTGTCTGAAAAGGTGTGTTTTCAGATGAGCCTTAAAGGATGAAAGCGATGGCGACAGCTTAAGATCAGAAGGTAGTTTGTTCCATAGCGAGGGAGCGCAGAACTGGAAAGATCTCTGACCAAATGTTTTGAGATGGGTTTCCGGGACTTGTAACAGGTGGCTAGGTGGCTAGGTGGCTAGGTGGCTAGAAATCTGGAAGGCTTGTATTGAGACAGTAGTTCGGTGAGATATAATGGGGCTGTTTCCATGTAGCATTTGTAGGCTAGGGTTAGAGTTTTGAATGGGCCGATGTGATCGAATGAATGATGGATAATGTTGAAATAAATGAAGGAAAAGTAATCTTACCTTGTGTACCAAAGAGGTAAATACGGAACACAGTTACACTGCACCTCCTACCAGTACAGCTCCGACCAGATAGTGAGCATATGTTGCTATGTTTAGCCTGCTGTCGTCAAGGTTCTACTGGTACACAGTGTAATCAATACATGCTATTGCAAGGGCACTTGTTTTTATGCTACCAGATAACAGAGGGAACAAACTGTTAGCCTACCCTGTAATCTATGGCACCTTAAAGGCAAACTTTTGCAGCCAGTAGCAGTTCAAAACGTCAACGCTAGAATATGACCAGTGTCGATTCCATTGGGATTAAAGGTAAAAATGATGATGAAAATTATACGAATAGATCACTATGCATCTTCAATATGAATAGATAACCATGTACTTGTGTGGAGATGTCTGTATCAAATGTCTTCTCATCATGAGTCTAAGGCGCCAAGATTCGCTGTGCAAAGTTGCGTCCCTTGGGCTCGCCAGAAACCTATGATTGTGGGTTCGAATCCCGGTTCGCCCAAATTATGTTTCTAGGTTTGTCTGCACCATACACGTGCTCGTGGGTTTCACCGAAGTGGTAAAACGTCTGAGACCTGCATCACTTCGGGCTTTCCTCCCACATTAAGCTGACACGCCGTGATATAACTGGATCCAACTAACTCACTCTTTATAGTCGGTGTCGTTTTCATTGACAGACACTCCTCCGTTTCATCTTAATGAGAGGGCACGCCAGGCCCAGTCGTCTTAGGCCTTGCAATTGCGCCGTTAAGCTTCTCAGAAACCTACAATCGCGGGTTCGAAACTATACCAATGCTTGTGGGTTTCACCATATTAGGTCAGTTACTTTCCTTCAAGCTCACGCGCCATGGCATAACTGAAATTACCGTTCTAACCCACTCAGGATATCCTTTTTGACATGAAGATGCTAAGAGCTTTGTAAATGAAGAACATATTTCACAATAATTTTGTTTGCTATAATGTGCTTGTATTGGTAGAACAAATGTGAGTAACATAACCATGGTTAACGCCAACTGTAAAGGCACGAAGATTACCACAAATGAAATTACTTCGTGCTATAAAGCAAAACACTTAAACTATTAAAACATGAATGCACTGAAAAACTCAAAGCCACTAGGATAAAGAGTGCCTATATGTTTCGCATATATCATGTCGAATACACTGATATGTTTGATAATGCATAGATTTAAATATGATACAGAAGTGGCGGTTTCACTGGACGATACCACGCATACATGTAACACAACGCTGTTGAAAGGAGATTATTGTGACCTTCAGCTAGAGATTCATCACCGTAGATAATATTTCGTATTGTACATGTAGCTCCAGCTGTTATAATGTGAGCAAGAATGAAGTGAATGTTGGTTTCACATGGATTTCCAAAAGAGCAGGACAAAGTTTCAGATACATTTACTTTGAAGAGATCTGCGTTAAGGGAACTGTAAGAGTGTCTCAGACGAGTAAATGTTAGCTCTTCGGTTGTCGGTTAAGAAGTATGGAGTGTAGTGCAGAGGCTGTGGAACTTTACTTCACATGAATTAGTAGCAACAAAGTTGATTTAGAAAGTATTTCGCCTACATCCCTGCAGGTAACTGTCGAACGTTCAATGAATGCGCGTGACATCAAAACATTTTCACTCATCTTCAGCCAAATAGTTATCTTTCAGCAATCTATGATTATTTATATTTCCAAGTGGCAGAACAAAACATATTCACCCTGGGTTTCGAGGGTACATTACAGACCAAAAAAATACGTACATGTTTTGAATGTACAGCTTATGTGCAGCTTATTGGATGTAGTGTTGCATTTGAGTTGATAGCAGGGTTGGCTTGACGGCTTTGTTCCCCCTTTCAGTTTAGGATAAACGTTTATAGATGTATATCAAATTATTTTCCTAATAGAAGCAGAATAAAATAATTCTAATATATTCTTCGTTTGATGTCTTCAAAAAGGCATGATTAGAATGTTTTAAATGAGAGTGCATGAACCATGTAATATTTATCCATTTGAACAAAGGTGCATACACATATATTGTACCGAAATGTAAGAGATAAAATTGTCCATAATCAAAAGAAATCTCTCATAATACGAATCCGGCAATAGCATAAGCATGTGTGATGATACCAGGTTGGCGTATCCTGTCCCACCGGCGGTACCATTCACAAACACATATTAAGGCAATTTAAGTTTTCATCTGAACAAACACGAGCACATCTGGTACAAGTCAACATAGGGAATTTCATCCGACTGTCACTGATGCGTCAGATTTGGAAATGTCCTCACATGTCTACCGTAAAACGTTTGAAGGCTTTACTAAGGACTAGAATGTTATATCCCTGGTCAAAGAACTTTTGAACAAGATTCGTATAACGCTATTTGAAATGTTCGTAGAAAGAGCCTGCTCGATAGTGCCTAGTTGTGAAAACTAGATTCCAAAAGCTGCGGGAATGTTGCTCGACATGAAAGGAAGGTCATCCCTGTTGGCATACAGTCTTGTAGATACCGTTTAGACAATTTGAATGAACAGATCTAAATATAAAACAGGTAAGGCGGGTTACGCTGGTCTAAGTTATATATATTTCAGGTGAATGGAATAGCTATTTGACCAACATTGAACTTTGTCAGAACACCATTTTACATAAGATTTAACTTCTTGGTCGTGTTTTGATTTTGTCAACCTGAGCAGAAATTCCGATTTATATGCATAACGAAACAGATCGACAAAGATCGTGAGATTTGGTGAAATAGAAATCGTTTAATGTTGTATGTAAATACTATCATTACAACGTAATGATGAACTTCTACTCCAACACAAACAACGTTATCCTGTCAGCAACTTCAACAGTTATCTGTGTCCCCTTACCCCAAACCTGAGTAGTTTATAAATAAACCAAATATGGAAATCACACTGAAAACGCTAATTATAATGCACACATAAAAGAAAGGTGCTCCCAACAAGCGTCAATGGTACATTTATAATACTATACACAAATAAACCTAATAAAAAGTGTTATTATTTTAACAATGCAACATATAACACTGCAATGATATCATTTATTATTCCGACTAAAACGTTTTAAATATTGTTCATCAGAAGTTGTTGATTAAAATCCAGTGATAAATTTTGCGAGCTTCACATTTGACAATGCCTGCCAAATTTCAAAGGAAAACATACAAATTTGCGAAACATGTAACAAATAATAAAAATATTCAGACGTATAACAATCTTTATTAATATTTGGTCCAAAGCGCATTGAACTGACATTTAACACTGTCTTTAACCTATTGCAGCAATGAAAGAATCATGCATAATTGGTTATTTTTAAAGAAGAGAAATCAATAAAACAATATTCGTTTGATACTTAAATGGGGTGAAATATAACAACATTTTCATTATTGATATTCATGACATTTATTGCATAAATGTTGAATGATTTTCCACAATCCTCTTTCAGTAGAGCATGAGGTGTAGATCCTTGTTCTGTGCATCCAGTGCTGTAGAATGCATCTGGCATACAAAGAAGACTATATGTGCATTATGTATTACATGGTTTTCACTTGTCATTGTTTGGCAAACCCATGGCCATGTTGTGTCAATAAAAGCGACAAAATATATTCCATAATCATAAGAAATCAAAACAGGAATCTTGCCCCGTGCCCCGTGAGCCCCATCGGTAGCACCCGTCCCAGAATATGCTAAGGGAACCAATTGTTCACCTGCAAAAACACGGGAACATATAGTACGTGTCATGATCTTTGTCACTGATACGCCAAATCTGAAATGTCCTCCACATGTCTACCACTAAACCTTTTGAAAGCTTTACTGATGCATTGAATGTTGCCAGCGTGATCCAACAACGTTGAAGGAAGAGTCAAAGGTGTTCTTTGAAATTGTCATAGTAAGAGAATGCTCGATTACATACCACAAAAGGCTGGAGTAGCGGGACATAAAGGGAAAGTTGCCTTTTGGAATGTTGAGGTCATTTTTGTCACTCTGAATCATTATTAATAGATCTAAATATGAAATAGATGAGGCAGTTTACTGGTTTCTGTTATTTTTACTCCTAGTAAGATAGTCAACGACCTCACTTCGGTCGGCATGGGAATCACCGCTTTCAGCTTCACCTTGAGCTAGGAGTCCCATCGCACCCTCAAGGTTTGAACACATCATACCCTAACCTACCAGGTTCACAATCTCACACCAGTACAATGTGTGAAGGGAAACTCATTCATACATGCAGCTCCCCGCTGTGATATGTCACGGAAATGGATGAAGGGCTTATCGTCCCATATGTTCGCGTCCCTGAACCTTCTCTATATCTGTAAACCTAAATGGGGGTACAAAAGCAAACTAAGACATACTTATGAAATTACTATTGGCTTGAACTATTGGCTATTAAGTCTCCTTAGTTATTGTAGATCTTAGTTTCTTGTATACTATACATATCGATAAGCATGACATTTCTTTAAGCTTGATGTACAAAGTAGACATTGAAAAGAGATCGTATTTGACAAACACAAGTACTTTTGTATACAATTCCATATTTTCTTGAAATGCCTGACAGCGGAAAAATGGATCCGTCTGCAACAGCTGGTGATTTATATAATACACACGTTCTGTTCTACCTGGAGATACCGAGGAGATTGCGACTTTGTAGTAAGATACCCTTGGTATCTGTTAGGAATATGTTTTAACTTATTATCAATCTTAAACAAATTAATGTACGTCAGAAAACGGTAGTTCAAGCAATGTTATCTAACAATGGGATAGACCCGTTAAGATCCGGGGTAGAATAGGTATTCATCAACCCATTCTTGCCGAAAAACGCGACTCTGCTTGTGGTAAGAGGCAACTAACGGGATCGGGTGGTCCGGCTCGCTAACTTGGTTGATGCATGTCATCGCATCACAGTTGCGTGGATCGTACTCATGATGCCAATCACTGGATTGTCTGGTCCAGACTCGATTATATACAGACAGCCGTCATATAGCTGGAATATTGCTGAGTTCGGCCTTAAAAAAGGAACAAATAACAATGGGATCATGACTGAATCTAGTGTTGTAAATAAAATTATAGAAATTATCATGTAGGGCCTTAAATCGGTATGCTTTTGAAGGACATTTATAATTATATTAATATGTCATACTACCGCTAATTTGAAAAAAAACCTTTTGCTCCTAAATATATGGTTGTGTTTCACTTATTACCAAAAGTGTCCATGTTTATTGGGACTGAGGGCTTTTTCTTGGTGTTCGATGTCGACGTCGATGTCGATGTCGATGTCATAACGGGTCATAATCAGCCATATCCTAAACGAAATCTGATAATAATTTTAACTAAATGTGTAATTTGTTTCACAATCAATAGCTTCATCTATTTTGCCATGATTTGGAATTAACAAAAAATATTATTCTTGCTGAATCTTTAGGAAAGCAGACGATCCTTTAACCAAGTTCGACTGAATATTGTTTTCTCTGCTTGTGAAGTAATTCACTTTTATAATCACCTAAATCTATAATTTGCAAGTAATGAGTTGAGCTCATCATCACTATATCCAACTTCGAAAACAGATGTTTAATTGCCTACAGCCAAATCGCCGTACTCCATCGTCGTGTCGGTAGACTGTGTCGTCATGTTGGTGTGCAAACGAAAATAGTGTATTACCGTAAATATATATTTGCGCAGCCGCTCATCAGAGACCCGTATAACGTGATTGTATATCTCTGATTGACTTTATTAACCGATCAGAATCAAGTATTAACTCAAGTCATGTTTAGTTTATTGGTTCACGAATAACGTTTTGATTTCATTTCCAACAAATAGTTCAGAAGCAATTGCGCTTTCATGACATTTACACCCATACCAAAATGAGCCCCGTCCGAGCTCGACACATCCGATGTTAAATTATAAGTGTCAAAAATGGGTATATGATACTTTCCCAAAGCCTCAGACATACGTTTGTTGAAGGCTGCTACGCGACTATTACTTTGTGTCGGCATCTTTGGAGATTTCAGGATACCAAATTTGTGATTGGAAAACCAGATCATCTTTGGCCCTGAAGCTTTGTTCTTTCTCATCATGTCAATAACGGGATACATATATTCATTAAACACGCTTTCAAAGTTAAAATGATCGTGGATACCAATACCAACTAGAACCATTGTTTTCTTTTTATGAAGAAATGAACGAAAATCCTTATGGAACTGTGCCGCCAGTAGGGCACGATTGTATTCCAACATTTTGACAGTCACACTCCCGCCACAGAGAGTTACTTGTCTCTTGAGCCTTTTCCTACATAGTGCATCCGAGAATCCGTACATTCCGTTGCAAAGGATGTCTGAAATAGAATCAGAATAAATATTGTTACTTGACAAACAGGGTTTATACTAATAGGTCAATCATGTTTGGCGTTCGTGGAGACGCAGAGTGTGTTTGGTTTTAAACCGCACTTTCCTCTCATGATACGGCGGGAAGCATCAAGAATAGATTTTACATAGCGTGTCCACGTGGGCAATGAAGTCTTTGACATGAATAGCCGACCCTGTTACTACTCGACTTTCCCACTGTCTCTGTACCGCTATCACTTGACCCTTCTGAAACCCTGCATTTACAAACATATAATAAAACTACGACAATTTCTTGTACAAGGACGACCTTCAAATAGAACACTATTTACTTAGAAAGGATGACTTGACATGTTTGTGTTTTATAAGAAAACAAGGAAATACCGAAATGGAAATACGGAGAGATTTGCATGGAGGAGTATGTTCCGTCAGTTATTGAGGTTGGTATAAAGCTATTTCAGCAAAATTCGCTGACGACATCTCCTTCTGGGCCTCTTCTACATAAAACACCCGTCATGCCAAATTCAACACTCTAACTACAACTTATAAATGATCCAATCACATACCAAAAAGAAGCAATATGTTAAGAAGTAATTTCGACCAACACGTAACTTTGGCACCACACAGTTCTAACTTGGTCAATTCCTGTCAACATGGCATAAATCTAATGAGAGACATCAGCGCACCGACTGGGGTGCGGACAAACAAACACTGCTAAACACATACAAAACCCGTATACAGACCAAACTGGACTACGCCGCTCCAGTCCGCCACACCCTATCTGCTAAAAACTCCAATAAACTAATGTCAATCCAATACAAAGCCCTTGAAATAGCACTGTGTACAAGAACTAGTGCCTCCCTTAATAACATTCTCCTACAATCAGCCATAAATAACATCAATCCCCCTCAGGCGAGACCAGATAAGCCTCAACTATCAAACTCAAATCAAAACCCAACATATAAACTAATCAAACAAATATACCAAAACACAAGACCTGCAACACTCAAGAAGTTCAAAAACAACAGTTCAAGACACGTCCCCAACCTGACCCATTTACACAAATTAATTCACACACACTAGATAATATTAAACATGCACCACTCCCAAATGCATACATAAATGACACGTCATTACACACCTTATTCCAATTGCACCTCAAAATAAGCAACACAGAAAATAATTCGCACTTAATTACATCAATCAAAACTGGCCAAACCACACCCACATGATATATCTCCAAATTCTCCCCCGCCTGACGCCGACTGCCAAAGGCATTGTTTCTGAAGCGGTTGTAAAGCCTATACATTATCAGCAGTAGCAGCATTATTAAGCCTTGACAACGGTATAACGATCTATACCGAAACGTCGCCTTTACAGTGAAAATAAAGAAATTGTTATCCATAAATTGTGTCTACTTTGCCATCCGTCAACTTCTAAGAAATGCATAATATTATGAAACAATTTAAAATAATTATGCTTCAGCTTGTTGAAAAATAATGATTGTGGCTGCCATGAATATTGCTATGTGTTTTTTTGGTTACATACTAAGAGCCATATGTAGCTGAAAATATATCTAGTATATATATATCTCCATACAAAACCGCCGTGATATTGCTGGAAAATTGCTAAAAGCGGCGTAAAATCAAACTCACTCACACCATACAAAACTCCCAGCATCCCACCACACCCAGCCCAAAAAGAATGTCACGTCCCCCGTCCCTCGCCACTTGCAACATATATTTTCAGTATGGTAAGTATATACATACCTTTTGGTTTACCAGCAATGAAGGCACCATTAATATCATAGTTGGTCATCAACAACAGCAGCGCCGTGTACACGTGGCGCACAAAAGAATTTCCTACAAAGGTTATTGTCAGCCCCTTCAGTAGAACACATGCCTGCTGAGCTGTGAACTTCTTCACCTGACATCGGGAGTCTTCGGGCTCCCACGTAGAGTACTCTGCATGAATCTCAGTACGAAGATCGTAACAGTTCGGACATTTACAGTCATCCGGGGTCTTGTTGATGCACGTATCACCATAGCAACATGGCGTAGGACCTGCCGGGTTACACAGCGCACGTATGTAGTAAACGTTTTCATATGCCACGTTCCCACATTTTCCGTCGCTTCTCTGCATTGGCTTTGGGGTACGATGTCGGGCTGACTTGAGAAATGAGCCTATGTCTACTTTCTCTTGTGCAGTCAGAATGCGAGGCCTCCATCTTCCTCTCATCATCCCTGTCTTCACATCCGGGCACCGAGGACTCTCAGCTGACACACTTAGGTCCACACCAGGGTACTTTGCTGGGGCAATGAAGTCATTTGTGTCCATTCGAGTCCAGTAGTTTGAAGCAGCATACTCCATTACAGTCCAAATCATGAGGACTAGGACTATAACTGTGATATGCCCTTTGTAGGTTCCCGTCATTCTGCTGAAAAAGAAGCCAATTTACTACAGAAAGGACGACTTGCTACAGGTTAACTGCGGACTTGATATTTTTAAGTTACTGTATGCTTGTTTATATTTTTCTTGTCGCATTATTCATAGCGACTGTAGTAAAAAGGGCCAGACAAACCAGTAGTTTATAGTATGATGTTGGTAATGCAATACATTTGTACAAATGGTTTGAGTGGCGGGTGCTTCCCGTATTGATTTCGCGAACACCTGGTGTCATTTATGGTGTATCATTTGGATGTGTTCCATTCGTACCATTTCGTACCGATATTTTGCCTTGTAGAGATCGACATTATAATAGTAAAAAAAGAAAATGCTCAGAAATACGAGGACTGGTAAATATGTTCTGAGCCTGAGAACTTTCAACTATGGGCCATAACAAAGTGAACTAGTCAGTGTAGTGCATTGTTTGAGTAGTTCATTGCAAGTGCCCAATGAATATTCATGAGTCTAGTGTTATGCTAATAGACATGCATGATGTCACAATGAGGACGGGGTCATTTAATTATGCATGAGTGTTAAGAATGTGAAGAATGGGGCCTTTGATAAAATGCCTGAGCCTAGAATTTCTTTAGGAATGCCAGCCATTGAAGCTATCTGGAATGTAGTCGGGGTAGATTCCGTTATGTACATACTTGAATGATCATCATCAAATGGGATGTCATCCTTTTGAGACCGCCTCCGTGGTCTTGTGGTAGAGTGTCCGCCCAGGGTTCGATCCCGGGCCGCGTCATACTGAAAGACGTTAAAAGATTGTACTTGTTGTTATCCTGTCTGGCGCTCGGCATTAAGGGGCTAAAACAAGGACTGGTCGGCTCGGAGTCAGTATACTGTGTCTGAGTGGGGTATTCATGTTAAACTGCGGCATGGTATCTCAGTGAGCTAGCACTATAAATCGGCATCAGTCCGGACTAGTACAAGCAGCCACACACACACATACACGTGCATGCACGTCGCTATATAAGTGCAATAATCTTGGACGCGACGTTAAACTCAATTTCACCTCACCTCATCCTTTTGAGATCACGCTTGTCTCAAGGTACCTAGTCCTTAAAGTAGAAGTAAGAATATGTAGAGGAGAAACTTGTGCGTTCCAAAGTTTATTACAGGAACAGAGTCAACACATAATTAGAACATAACTTTACAGTGATTGCAATACATACGAGCAATACATACATATATATATATATATATATATATATATATATATATATATATATATATATATATATATATATACACACAGTAAAAAAAGTGTTGCACCCCCACATTAATACGTTTGATACATCACAACATTTAAAACGCCCGACTCTGGTTTTAATGGTAGGTATTCCTTGGGGATCTGATGTTAAATGTGTAATGTTTTCGGAGGGAAGATGATCACCAAAACGTAGCAATCAGCACGTGAATTGCATGGTGCATGACATTTGCAGATTGCAGTATCTTCTTAAGCTCAACATCGCCTATAAAAGATGTTCTCTGACAGCCCAGTTTATTGTAACCCACAATGCCGGGTAGACGATTGTCAGAAGCAGTCAAGTGGCAGATTATTGGCCTTCATGGAGCAGGTCTTTCGTTCAAGGAGATTGGCAGAAGAACCGGACATCACTACTCAACAATAAGCCGTTTGGTCAGAAAACACGCACAAACTAATGATGTAAGGAATCGCAGACCCTCTGGCAGACCACGTAAGACCACAGTTAGAGATGACAGAGCGTTGTTGAGGGTGGTAAGGCGTCATCCATTTGCTACAAGCACAACCTTGAAACGTCTTTGGCTTCCTCGTCAACAGTTCAGTACCCAGAACGTGAGAAATCGTCTTAAAGCTGCAGGGTTGAAGTCCAGAAGGGTTATCAAGCGACCTAAACTCACAGACAACCACAAACGACTACGTCTAGCCTGGTGTAAACTGAGACAGAACTGGAACTTGAGGTCCTGGAGAAGAGTCCACTGGTCGGACGAGACCGGTTCCTTCTGCATGTTGTGGATGGCAGAGTGAGAGTATGGAGGCGTCCTGGAACAGCTTATACTGCAAGAAACATCATGCCAACTGTACCATATGGAGGTGGATCTGTTATGGTCTGGGGATGCTTCTCATTTGATTGTAAGCTTGATTTAGTGACCATACGAGGCAACTTGACAGGGGAGCGCTACATCCAAGAGGTGCTGAATCCAGTTGTGGTGCCCCATTTTGACAATCATCCACTGGCCACCAGACCGATATTCATGGATGACAATGCCAGACCACATCGTTCACGAGCTGTGACCCAGGTTATCCACAACAATGCTCTGACGCAGATTCCATGGCCAGCAATGAGTCCAGATCTGAATCCTCTGGAACATGTATGGGACATTTTGGGACGCCTGATTTATCGTCGGGACCCTCCTCCACAGAACTTGCGTGAATTGGAAGCAGCATTACACGAGGAGTGGCAGCAGCTGCCCATGGAGCGATTCCAACGTCTGGTGAGGAGTATGAGACGAAGACTTCAAGCTGTGATCCAAGTGCTTGGTGGAAGTTCTCGATATTGACTTACTGTGTTCGTCAAATCTCCATATGACATTCTTACCCTATTGGATGAATTTGGTCACTAAAAATTATTGAGATGTCACCATACTTAATGTGTCTTCGTTGTTCGTTCATTTTTCGTAAAAGTTCAGCATGAGATTATTACATGCCATAAGGTCATGGAATACCCCATTTAAGTTCATTGTATAGACAATACACTGGTTTGTTGGTATACACGAAATCCTGGTTATAATATTAATTCGGTTATCTTTACACCCTTTCAAAACACCCCTCCATGAAAAAGTATAGGGGGTGCAACACTTTTTTTACTGTGTAACACACAGTACTACAGATATTAATTGTTATAAATAATTACATCAGTTTAGGCAAATATATTGGAACATGGCTGTATAGATTACATACTAAAACATATATAAACGAAATAGGCTTATCAAGACATTATCCAGGCTTTCCTGGTATGCTACAGGTTTTATTTTTTTAAAACACGTAGCTATTATGTCATTTTTAAAAGATGTTGTCATATTATTTACTTTGATAGAAGGCATTCAATATTAAATATAAAGGCAATCTATGATGCTTTCTGATATAAATTTCGATAGAAAATGGCACGATGTTTTATTTTACAAACAACATGAAAGAGTATTAGATATAGTACACGGAATCTACTACATCATTGTTATGCAAAATAGTTATGTTTTTATTTCCTACCAGGAGTGAGTTAGTGAGTGAGTATGGTTTTACGCCGCTTTTAGCAATATTCCAGCAATATCACGGCGGGGGACACCAGAAATGGGCTTCACACATTGTACCCATGTCGGGAATCGAACCCGGGTCTTCGGCGGGACGAGCCAACGCTTTAACCACTAGGCTACCCGACCGCCCCTCCTACCAGGAATCAGGCAGAAATATTCTACAAGAAAGTCTTGGCTAATTCAGAGTTAGTGACAACAAGACATTATAGATATTATGCTATTGCTGATCGCGGATGATGATGCTCTGGTGTCCTACTCTATGTGGTAGGCTTGCAGATACAGCTTAATGCATTGCGGTCCTTCTGTTTAAGAGGGGTTCACAAGTAAACCTTGAGAAAACCAATGGTATTATTTTTAGAATCAAGGAATTGTATCTAGGCAGGAAAATTGGATTTCTGGTGATAAACATTTATAAGTTGCTAGTTATTATAAATAATAAGGATTCATTATGTCGCCAGGACTAAATTTGTCCATGGCTTATTAGACCATCGCTAGTAAGCGATTTTTATGCATTCAATTTGGTAAATATGCGTCAAATAAGGCAGTACTTAACTGGTTGCTGTAGCATATATGTACATAGCCAGCTGCGTGTTCTTAAATACCGGATAGCATTATTAAATATGGAAGCGCACAAGTACACATTTCAACCGGAACACAAAAGGAACCGGAGGCGACTCTTGAACATTGGGAGCATTTTTGGAAAGACTTCATTAAAGAACATTTGGATTTAGAAGCCGAAAACATGAAATGTATACGAGTCCACAGAATAGGCAGGCCCCGAACCCCATGACATGCAGGAGATCTGTCTGACCCCGTTCCCTGATAGCAAAGTGGGGGAATGAAATCTGGTAAAGACAGCAGCGAATAAATTGAAAGGTAAACCCTTTTCTGTCGTTTTCCATCAGTATAGGCGAGAAATGCTGATGCCACTTTTGAGAGAGGCTCGACAGAAGGGTAAGCAGGCTTACCTTGTGGTTTATAAGCTGTACATCAACAGAGTGCTTCAGGACGTTCACACCCCACCACCCTACAGGACTCCCCGAAAACAATCTCGTCAAGCATAGGAATGGGACGGTTCACGAGTGCCTATTCTGGTATTTTTCACACCCCATGATTACAAGACTCTGATCCTGGTATAGACTCTAGCCCCTGGGGTAAAAAATCTAGATATAGCAACAGGACTAACCTTTCAGGACAATTTGATTACTCAGCTGCATCTGCTGTTCACAACGGCCGTTATATTATTCACTCCTGTACTGACAACTATGTGAAGCTATGTACTGTAGTAAAACTGATAAACCATGGTTCGGAAATGGATGCGAAAAGGCAAACGTCGTTTCAAGAAAAATAAAACATTAAGAAATAAAAGTTTCTACCGACAGAACTGGAAAGGTTATAAACAATGCTAGACAAGCATATTCGAAATTTTAATAACAAACTGACTGAAGCTTTTCGCAAAAATATCAAACAATAGCCAAAAGTATTTGGAAAATTTTAAATAAACAACGTAAAACAGAAAGAAAAATATACGGATATTGCTAGCTTCTTCGAATTTTTCAACAACAAAATGAACCAGAACCCCAAACAAGACGAAGATGATTTTAATGATTAGATTTAAGACGGGAATGTAAGTGACTGCAATATTTTGAATGATGATATCAATACCGATGAAATTATCAAGGCAGCTAAGAAACT